CTCCTCCAACACCACAACTCAAATGCATCAATTCTTCTACAGTCTTCCTTACTAACTGTCCAACTTTCACATGCATATGAGGTTATTGAAAATACCATGGTTTTGGGGTAGGTGTACCTTAGTCCTCAAGCTGACACCTTTGCTCTTCAACACTTTAAAAAAAAAGGTCTTGTGCAGCATATTTGCCTAATAAAATATGTCATTTGATTGTTTGGCTGCTGCTCCCATGAATCTTGAAGTTTAGGTTTTTATTTAATTCTCTTCTGACCTTATGAGATTGTCTATACTTATTTAAATTATTATGTTATTCTTTTCTTGGTTCTCTGCTTTTCTTTTTTCCATTTGACTTTCCTAAAAAAAAAAAACTTCTGGACCTCATTGGAAGATTCAGCAAAGTGGCAGGGTACAAGATCAACATACAAAAATTAGTTGGATTCCTCTATACTAGTAATGACAACACTGAAAGGGAAATTAGGAAAGCAATAACATTTACAACAGCTGCCCAAAGGATTAAATATCTAGGAATAAATGTAACCAGAGAAACAAAAGACCTATACAAAGAAAAATATAAAACACTACTATAAGAAACCAAAAGCGATTTACAAAAAATGGAAGAATATACCATGTTCCTGGATAGGAAGACTTAACATTTATATGCCATTTTAGGTGCCAATACCACCTAAAGCAATCTACAAATATAATGCAATCCCAATCCTGATTCCAACAACATTCTTTAAAGACATGGACAAAAACAATTACAAACTTTATATGGAAAGGAAAATGTCCTCAGATAAGTAAAGCACTACTTTAGAAGAAGGACAAAGTTGGAGGCCTCCCATTCCTTGATTCCAAAATTTACTAAATGGGTACAGTGGTCAAAACACCCTGGTACTAGTACAATGAAAGATACATAGAACAATGGAACAGAATTGAGAATCCAGAAGGTAACCCATCCACATACAGCCATATCCATAAGAAAAATGAGCAAGAACAACAGTAGAATATGCATGACAATGCTTATTACAGTACTTTCACAATAGCCAAAAGATAAACAAATGTTGGTACATATACACAATGGAATATTATGCTACTTTGAAGAATATAATGATGAAGCTGCAAAACACTTCATAACATGGATGAACCTCGAGAACATTATGCTGAGTGAAGTTAGTCAGTTACAAAAGGACAAATATTGCATAAGTCCATTATTGTAAAAGCTTAAGAAAAGATTTCCATACTAAAAGAAAAAATTATTTGATGGTTAACAGGGATGGGAGGGAGAGGACAGTAAGGCACAGGTTAGGGAATAGTCACATCATAACTCAGTGTCATGGGGATGGCGATATGCAAGGAAGGGGAGGGCAATACACATGAAGAGGGAGGGGTGTGGAAAAACAGGAATGATAGGGGAACACTTAGGTAGGTTTGCATGGGCTAAATGGGACAGAGGTAAATAGTGATGTATACTCAACCTTTAACCAACAGGGCTCCATGATACAGGGATCAAATGGATAAAAAAGTGGAAATAATGTTAAGATGCTTGACTGTCTTGTGGATATTGATTTCCCTTACCTACTATTATAAAATAGACATTTAATTAGAATACAAAGGAATAACAGTAAATATAATTACAGAAAGCTTGTAAGCCCAGCTTCAGCCTATAACCGATTAGAATACCTAAAAGGAGTTCTAGAATTTGCCCAGTGAAATTGTTTTTTTGTCAAGCCTTTGTAGAGTATGGGGCGTTAGATGGAATACTGAGCCTCATCCAGAACTTTCTGAGGTGGGACACTCTCACTTGAAAGGATACACAGACCAACCTGGAGAGACTAAAGGAACAGAAGATACTTCCTAAAAGAAAGACCAACAAGAGTAAAAAAAAAAACAAAAGCAGACTGTTTGGCTATTACAAGAACAAACAAGCTGTTCTCCTGGAGCCATCAAGCCAAGCCATCAAGGCCTTTCAGGACAAATCCTCTTCCAAGACTGAAACTCAAAGGGAACACATGAGCAGGCTTGTAAGCTCACTGGTAACCACATTGATCTGCTTGTTAGTGGAAGTCGAGGAAACACAGTAATGAAAACGTGGGCTGAGTTCTATCAAATTCCATAGACTCTTGTCAACCTTAAGATGACACAAAGAAGATGAAGGGCTGGTTGGTCCAAAGCTTGGGAAGACTTGGGAACTCCTGAGTCCATGGACATGACCTAGAAACTGACCTAGAAACTGGGCTACAGCTTAGAGAAAAGCATCCAACTGATATGAAGTGGGGAGTGGTGAACAAGAATGCTCAAGCTTGCAGATAGTACTTGCACTAGCTTGGATGACTTGATGATCAGAACTCAACTAGGGGAAGATAAAGTAGTATGATACAGGTAATAATTGTAATGGCTACAATTTGATGAACTTGACTTATATTTATGAATATAAGTAGTTGCTCAAAATACCAACTAAGAGGGAAGGTGTCTTCACATCAAGGATCAGCCTTTCCCCTCAAAACACAGGATTGCTAGGGATGGACAACTTAGACATTGGCTACCGATAATGTATCACCATTCATCTGTCAGTTTGTTGTACTGTGGTGGCTTGTGAGTTGCTGTGATTCTGGAAGCTGTGCTATCAGTATTTTAAATAACAGCAGGTGGACAGGTTTCAGATAAACTTCCAGATGAAGACAAACTAGGAAGAAGGAGTGACGAACTAATTCTGAATATTTAGTCACTGAAAACCTTATGTATAGCAGAGAAACACTGTCAGATATAGTGCCAGAAAATGAGCTCCTCAGGTTGGAAGGCACTCAAAATTCCAGTGGGGAAGAGCTGCCTCCTCAAAGTAGAGTTGACAAATGATGACGTGAATGGAGTAAAGCCCGTGGGAGTAAGTCAGTGGGACCTTCATTTGTAGAAACATCACGATAAACAAAACATCATGATAATAGAAACATCATGATAAACAAAAACATCATGATAAATGAAAAAAATATGAAAGTTGTCAAATACTTCTTTTTGCTTGTATCCACTATTAGCAGTCAAGAATTTAAAGAACCTATTATTGAATTAGAAAAATTTACTTCACAAGATCTTTTTAAAGTGTTCAAGAGCAAAGATGTCAGTTTGAAGACAGAGATGTGCTTGACTCAAGCCATAATAATATCAACAACCTCATATAAATTTGAAAGTTATACAGTGAATAAGGAAGACCATAGAAGAACTGATGCATTTGAGTTATGGTGTTGGAGAAGAATAAAAGTACCATGGGCTGCCAGAAGAGCAAACACATCTGTGTTGGAAGAACTATGGTCTGAATGTTTCTTAGAAGCCAGCATGGTGAGATTTTGACTCTCATATTTCATACATATTATCAGGAATGACCAATGCCTGGAGGAAGACATCATGCTTGATAAAGTAAAGAGTAAGTGAAAAAAGGAAGACCTCAACTAGGTTGATTGGCACAGTGGCAGCAGCAATGTGTTCAAGTGTAACAATGTTGGTAAGGATGGTCATATCAGCAGTATCGTGTTCTGTTCTGCATAGGGTCACTATTAAGTAGTAACCAACTCGATGGCTCCTAACAACTACAATAAGCATCTTCCTGGTATTCTCTATTTTCAGCCAAGATTCAATTGAGGTCAGCAATGATAGGGATTCTTCCACATCTTAGTCTGAATCTAGCTTGAATCTCTGGCAGTTTCCTGTCAAATTTGTGTCATAGACATTTTTTTATTATCTTGAGTGAAATTTTATTTGCATGTGATATTAATGATATTGTTCAATGATTTCCACATTCTATTGTGTCACTTCTCTGTAGAAGAGACACCAATATGGATCTCTTATAATCAGTTGGCCAGGAATCCATCTTCTAAATTTCTTGGCATAGATGAATGTGTATGATCAGTGCTGCATTTGTTTGCTGAAAGCTTTCAATGTTTATTTCATCAATCCTGAAACACTTGCCAATGCTTTCAGTGCACCTTGGACTTCTTCCTTCAGTATCGATCATATGCAACCTCTTGGAATGAGTGAACATCAACCATTTATTTTTGATTCAGTAACTCTGTGTAGTCCTTCCATCTTTTATGTGGTGATTTCTTTATCATTCAGTATTTTGCCCATGTTGTTGTTGTTAAGTGCCATTGAGTCTGTTCTGCCCATTGTGACACTGTTTAGGGTTTCTAAGGAGCAGCTGGTGAGCTTGAACCACCAACCTTGCAGTTCAAACTGAATTTGCAGTCCAGTGCATTAACCCACAGTGCCACACCAGGACTCAGTTTTGCCCATAGAATCCTTCACTATTTCAAGTCAAGGCTTGACTGTTTTCTTCAGTTCTTTCAGCTTGAGCAATGGTGAGCATGTTCTTCCCTTTTAGTTTTCTAACTCCAGGTCTTTGCACATTCATTATAATACATGACTTTGTTTACTCAAGCTGCTCGTTGAAACTTTCCGTTTAGCTCTTTACCTCCTCATTTCTTCCATTTGCTTTAGCATCTCTATGCTGAAGAGCAAGTTTTTGAGTCTCTTCTGACCTCCATTTTGGTCTTTTCTAACTTTTTTTGTCTTCTTAATGTAATTTTGCTGTTTTCCTCTATGATTTTCTTTATGCCATCCCAGCAATCTTCTGCTCTTCTTTCATTAGTGTCTAATGCATCAAATGTTCTTGAGATGATCTCTAAAAGCAGCAGTAGGCAACTAATATTTCCTGGGGCATTAATATTATTTAATATAGGCCATGATTCAGGCTTATTTCTAGATTACAACTCAAGTTTAACTAGAATCACTTTCAGCTCTGTTAGCTTGCACCTTCAGTCAAGACTTTCTGGAAATTGCCCTAATGTCAAGATACTCAATTCTCTGAAATACATGTTTTCCTCCTCAGTATAGGATCCATGGAATTTATTCAAAAACCACACCCTACTGGTGAATTCACCCTTCTATTTAATGGATTTTGTCAAATTGCAAGTTTTGTGGGATAAATATTACTTTGTGGTATAAGCCACCCTATTATGACGGTATGTTTGAATCTTGTTCTTATTTTCAATCTGAATGTAATGAAGTGGTCTTGGAAAATATCTGGATTTCCTTTGCTCGATGAGTTTTTCTTCTAGAGTTTTCAAATAAGGAAAGAAGAGCCTCATTATACAGGACTAAATACAGGGCCTCATATGACAAGACAGTCTTATTTTAAGCTGGGATTCGAGGTAATTGCTTTAATCATAAATTCTTTTTAAATATTCCTAATCTGATTCTAGCACTCATATTCTTTCCTAGTTAATGCTCCAACACATTTAAGAAGACTTCTCAGTATATTAGATCAATTCGCCAGTAGTATAGTCATAGCATGTTCCATGTTTTCAATCTGAGACTTAATCTAATTGTTCCCAAATATTTTAACATTTTAGATACCACTAGGTTCAACCACTTGACCCAATTTATTTATTTTATTACTTCATATCCTTTATGTTCTCCAAAGCATTTTCACCAATTCTATAATAGAACTATATTCATGCTACAGAATTTTGTTGTTTTTGTTGGGTGCGTTCTAGTCAAGTCTGACTCATAGCGACTCTGTATAGGGTTTCCAAGGAGAAGTTGGTTAGCTTGAACCACCAACCTTACAGTTTAAATGGCTTTACAATCTGGTGCATTAATCCACAGCACCACACCAGGACCCCTGATACAGAATTATTTCAGTTTAATGATTAAAAAAATAAAAATGTAAGCATTTATTGAATTAAATAATTACATACTTTTATAAAGATATATATGTAAGATATGGTATATATTTGTTATTGTTGTGAAGTACCATCTAGTTGGTTCTGACTCATAGAGATTGTATAGGGTTTATGAAGAGCATTGGTGAGTGTGTTGAGGGCTAGTTAATGTGCTGGACTGCAAGGTCGATTTGAACTGCAAGGTTGGCAGTTCAAGCTCACCAACTGCTCCTCATAAACCCTATAAAGGGTCACTATGAGTCAGACTCAACTGGAACGCATATAACAACAACAACAACAACAACAACAAAAACCTTGCTATTAACTGTCCAATGTGTATCATGTAGTGTAGCTTGTACTTGAAATATGTGTTTTGTACATTGCTTTTTATTTGTGAATAATGGTAAACTATTCTTAACTTTTGTTTTACAGTGTCTGTTTAATTTTGCAATTATATTCTAAGATTTTGCAAAGAATCATCATTGAGTTTACTATACATGGTTGCTATGAGTCAGAACTGACTTGACAGCATTTAACTACAACAGCATATATGTTTGTGTTTATGTTTCTGTTATTAAAGTTATTGCATATATGGTATTTTCATAAATTTTGTAAATAATTTCAGTGAATTATTTGACCGAAGGGAAGTAGTGGGGCTTATTAGTCTAAAGTGGAGGGTGACATGTAAATTTCTGAATTTAAGACTAGGACACTGAGGTGGTAAAGAAAAGCAGTAAAGTCTAGGGTTCACTTATCTGGAGCTCAGGGAGCCATGTGGAACACTGTGCTTTCTGTTGGTACACTTTGACCTAGTCCTGAATAGCTAGGATGAATTAGCTGCTAATATCTAGGGATGAACTATAACGGCTGGGGTTGAATTGGCCAGGGAAAGGAAGCCAAAATTTCCAAATAATGCATATAGAATGAGATTCACCTTTTAATTTAGCATCAGAGGTGGGTGATCTTGGACTGGTTTGTTCAATTGGTGTGGCAAGCAGGATAAGATAGCTTGATTACAAAATTCTCTAGTCAAAGCAGCAACTAACAATCACAACAGCAATGTTGCATAATATGCATAATTTAATCTACTTGAATGTGTACATTTGACTTTCATTTCAAATAGTAACTGTTGTGATCTCTGTACCTATATTGATTGTTCTTCCTGAAGTATGAATACTATATGATTTTGTTGTGATGTCTTTACAGAAGATGTTTCTTAAATTATTACCTAGTACCCAAAACCACTTTTTAACAGACTTGGTGTATGTTCTTTTACACATGATTGGAAATGCCAGGAAGGCATAATTTCAGGTGATGAATATGAATAAAATTTTACATATCTTTCCCCTTTTCCCCAAACTGTCAAGGTCCAAAATTCTTACTTTTCTCTCCTGTTTTTATCATCTAGGTGGAAAAGTTTCATGTACTTCTAATCAGGTAATCAAATTTCATTATATACTCTGATAAATGCCAAAATACAGGCAGTTTGCTTCCAGATATCTGTAAGTCTTTCTTTGTTTACAATTCCTGAATGCATTCATACAAGTATTTCATATTTTAAATAATTTTATTGGTAATTTTCATTAAAAATGCAAAAAAAAATCACAAATTGAAATCTATTTAGCTGATAAATTTCTAACACCACTGAAGTCACCTATTTTACTTTATTTTAACTTTTTATTGTAATTTGGTGCAGATTTACAAACATATCAATTTTGACTCAAGAATTCTAACACATTTTGTTTCTTTCATTGCAATCCCTACAATGAGGCATCACTTGTCCTACTCCCTGTATCTCCTGATTCTATTATTCCGTTTTCTCCAAACCCTTATGTAATTTCTCCTGAGGCAAATGTTGCCCTTTTGATCTCAAATCAGTGATAATTCCAAAGTATAGATACTTCAGTAGTGTTACAGCTCCACTTGTCTATCATGTGAATGAAACTGAATAAATAGGGTGAGTTAATTTGCAGACCTAAAGTGTGACTAAAGGACATAGCCACCACTCATCTGCCAGTTTGTCGTACTGTGGTGGCTCGTGTGTTGCTTTAATGCTGGAAGCTATGGCATCAGTATTTCAAATACCAGCAGGGTCACCCATGATGGACAGGTTTCAGTAGAGCTTCCAGATTAAAACAGAGTAAGAAAAAGGATAAGCAGACTACTTCTGTATGGTTAATCACTGAAAACCTATGGATAACAGTGGACCATTATATAGTGTCTGAAGATGAGCCTTTCAGGTTGGAAGGCACTCAAAACAGGACTGGCGAAGAGCTGCCTCCTTCAAGAAGAATTGACCTAAATGGCATGGATGGAGCAAAGCTTTTGAAACCTTCATTTTCTGATGAAGAACAACTCAAAATGAGACGAAATAGCTGCAAATGTCCATTAATAATTGAAATGTGGAATTTATGATGTATGAATCTTGGGAGCTTGGAAGTCACTAAAAATAAAATGGAATGCATAAAAATTGATATCCTAGGCATCCATGAGCTGGAATGGCATGGTATCGGTCATTTTGAATTAGACAATCATATGATTTACTATGCTGGGGCAAAAATTCAAGAGGAATACTGTTACATTCATTGTCAAAAAAAAATTTCAAAATCCATCGCGTAGTACATTTCTGTCTGTGACAGGATGATAGCTACAAGGAAGACAAGTAAATACCACTATCATTTAAATTCACATACCAACCACTAAAGCCAATGAAGATGAAGTTGAAGAATTCTACCAACTTGTTCAGTCTGAAATTCATCAAACATGCAATCAAGATTCATTGATAATTTCTGTTGATTGAAATGCAAGAGTTGGAAACAAAAAGAGGAAGGATCGGTGGTTGGAAAATATGATCTTGGTGATAGAAATGATACTGGAGATCGCATGACCAATGACTTATTGTTTGCCAATACATTTATTCAATAACATAAAAGGAGACTATACACATGGACCTAACCAGATGGAATATGCAGAATCAAATTGACTCTATCTTTTGGAACACATGTTGTTGTTGTTGTTGTTGTTAAGTGCCTTCAAGCCAGAGAAGCTCAATTTCATCAGCCAAAACAAAACCAGGTACAGACTACAAAACAAACTATCAATTGCAAGTTCACACTGAAGCTGAAGAAAATTTAACAAGTCCTCAAAAGCCAAAATATTACCTTAACTATATCCCACTTTAATTTATTATATTAACATGTGTGTAAAGACCTGGAGTCTGAAAATCAAGAGCAGAACATGCTCAGCATTTCTAAAGTTAAAAGAACTGAAGCAAAAATTCAAACCTCTACTTGTGGTATTGAAGGCTGCTGTATTGAATGATGAAGGAAGCAACAAAAGTACAGGATGGCAGATCTTTGTCAGTTGTATTTTGGACATATTATCAGCAGGGACTACTCCCTAGAGAGGAACACCATGCTTGGTAGAGTAGAGGGTCAGCAAAGAAGAGGGAGAACCCCAAGGAGATGGATTGACATCATGGAAGCAACAATGGACTCTAATGTAACAGCTGTTGTGAAGATGGCACAAGAACAGTTAGTGTTGTGTCTGTTGTGCATAGAGTGGCTATGCATTGTAACTGACTTGATGGTACCTAACAACAACAGCAACAAGTTTTCATAAATTTGTCCACTGTATCCTGAAATATATTCAAAGATATATTGGCAACAAAGGTAAATACTCACGCAGAGATATTCTCTGTCTAACCAATGTATTGGAGTCCTTGTGTAGCACTGTGGAGTAAACACTGGACTGCTAACCTCAAGGCTAGCAGTTCAACCCACTATGTGGTCCTTGGAAACCCTGCAGAGGATGGATATGGGTTAAAACAGATTTGACAGCACTTAACAGCAACCACAAACCTATTTATAATGGTGAATTACAGGGTATAGTACTACTCTCACTCTCATGTATGTTCAGCCTGTGTGTCTATCTAAATATTTACTCATAAATCACCATATTGATGGATTGTATATATAACATTATTTACTTATTGTCTCTAAATCTTTTGCTCACCCAAGTGTGTTCCCTGTTTCCATCATGCTTTGGGGACTTTCTCTTTCACCAAAGTTAGGATATATCTAAGCTATAGCCAGTGACTTATTATCCCTTCAACTACTATCATGGTTCTTGTTTTTGTTACATGCCATCGAGTCAGTACGGACTCAAAGCGACCTTATGCACAACAGAATGAAACACTGCTCAGTACTGTATCAACCTAACAATTGTTGCTATGTTTGATCCCATTACTGCTGCCACTGTGCCAGTCCATCTCATTAGGGGTCTCCCTCTTTACTCTGACCTGAGTGGCAACATCCATGAGCTCAAGTGTGGCAGTGATTGTGAGTTTTGTCCAGGACCAGGCAGTGCTTCATTCTGTTGCTGTAAGTCAGTATCAGCTGAATGGCACCTAACAACAACAACAAGTTTGATGTTTTAATTTTTTTCACTTTGACTACCTATAATGTTGAAACTTTAGTTAAATTCTAAAATTTATTGGTAGCATTTTATCTTATAATATATTCTATATAACTTACTTATTGGTTTCTTATCGTTGCATATATTGTTTATCAATCTTATGACCTAAAGTGTATGACTACTCTTCTCTAGATGCTAAAATGATGTCTCAAAACACCAGGGCCTTTGCAAGAGCTCCATTTCTCCATACAGAAAAAAAGAGGGGACACAGCTCAACTTTGATGGATGATTCTTATCTTTGATTTCTTTTCTCCTTGTGCTTGACAGGAAAATGGAGATGAAAATGGTTCAGAAGAAGTTTGCTACACTATCATTAATCATAACTGCTATCGAAGATCCTCTCTGAGCTCCACTGATGATGGTTATGAGAACATTGATTCCAACACGAAGAGAATGATACTATTTAGAGATGGGTCAGAAACAGAATATGCCCTTCTCAGGACAACTTGTGTTGTCAGACCTTCTTCCAGCACCCATGAGCATGATTATGAACTTGTGCTGCCTAACTAGAAACCCTTTATGTTGCCTCATCCTCTTCCATGTAACAAAGGTGATAAATGAGGGATTCCAGGTGAATTTTTATCTCTCAGCAGTTCCTGAAACACACAGCCCTGGTGAGAAGTGAGAAATGACATAAGTTTGCAGTATTGACTTGGTCATTCAAACATGAAATCTCTGTGGTATAGGGTGAACTATGTAAATTGACATGATGACATAGAATATTCTACATATTTTCATTTGTAAGTTTTGAGGGCATGAAGAAAACAGAAAATCTTCCTAGGACAAGAAGCATCTACAGATACATAAGGCGGCTTCAAAATTTCATGGAAAAATTTCATTATCTTTTAATTTTATTTTTCCCAAACTTTTTGAAGACCTCTAGCATACCCTAGAATCTTCTGTTCTCATTTCTGCCCTCCCAATTTCTAATGCAATATCACCACTCTCAGTATTTTTTTTTTTTTTTTCAGGTATAATCCATTCAGGGAACTTTTTCTCATTTGATATTTAATTATGGGGATAAGTTGTTTTTTTTTCAAACAGCCCCCCCCCCCTTTTTTTAGATTCACCCATTTAAATCTTGTATCAGTATTTACACCTTTATATTGCTGAGTAGTATGATGCTGTATGAATATACCATAATGTGTTTATCTAATCGCTTATTCATGGTCTTGTGCGGTATTTATAGTTCTTGGTGTTACCAATAAAACTGCTATGAATTTTGTTGAATAGTCTGTACTATCTTGCTGTTATTGTTAGGTACTGTTCAGTTGGTTCTGACTGATAGGACCCCTATGCACAACAGGACACAATGCTTTCCACTCCCTAACCATCTTCACAATCCTTTCTATGTTTAAGCTCATTACTGCAGCCGCTATGTCAATACGTCTCACTGAGGGTCTCCTTCTACTTTACCAAATGTAGTGTCCTTCTCCAGGGATTGATGCCTGTCTTCTAACATGATGCTATATACTCCTGATAACATTTCCAAAGTGACATATAGCTGTACTTCTTCCAAGACAGATTGCTTGTTTTTCTGGCAATCCATGGTATGTATAGTCAATATTCTTTGCCAACACTGTAATTCAAATTGTATCAATTCTTCTTTGGTCTTATTTATTCATTGTCCTGCAATGTAAAAAAATATGCCTAACTTTATAAGCACGTGATAAACTGTGCTCCCAAGTGGCTGTGCCATTTTTAAGCCTACCAACAATGTATGTGAATTGAAGTTGTTCCATATCCTTACCACTAACATCATCACTAAACTTAGTCATTCCAATATTTTAATAATAATAATAATAACACTCTAATAGGTGTGTGGAGTCTCTGGTTGGTACAAATCGTTAGGTGCTCAACTACTGGACAAGTGGTTGGTGATTCAAACCTACCCAGTCATACTTTGGAAGATAAGATGGGTTCAGTTTCTAAAAGATCCCAGCCTGATGAAGCAATTCTACCTTGCACCCAATGGAATTGACATGATCAACAACAACTAACAATAGCAGTAATAATGAATGGGCAATGGTGATTCATTAGTTTTTATTTTAATTTACCAAATTATTAGTGATATAAAACATGCTTTAATGTTTAGTATACATGTGTTTATGACTTATTAATTTTGTTTGTGAATTATTCAAATCATTTGTCATCTTATAGTTAATTTGTAAGTGTTGTTTAGTGGTTTGAGCCCACTGGCTGGTCCATGGGAGAAAGTTGATGCTTTCTGCTTCCTCAAAGATTTACAGCCTCAGAAATTCTATACAGGGCTGCTATGAGTCAGAAACAGCTCGATAATGTTTAACAACAATAAGAATTATTTGTATATATTGAATGCAATGCCTTTGTTAGATCCACATCTATAAATCTTTACAGGAGCAGCAAGCCTCATCTTTCTCCCATGGAGTGATTGGTATATCTGAATTACTAACTTTGTGGTTAGCAACTCAGCTCGTAATCTACTATACTACCAGCCTCACTTTTCACAATGTCTACTGAGTACTCAGCTCCTACCTGCTCAATGGCATTTCAATGCTAGAGTTCCTGCACATCTGACTCTCCATGCTTTTTGGCGCCATATACCTACTAGCTGTAGTGTAGAATGTGACTACCCTGGAATGTTAAAGATGGAGCACATCCTACACTAGCTCATGTACTTTTTGCATGTTAGTTGTCATTGACAAGTTTTTGTTTACTTCTACTACTCCCAGATTTCTGGGAATTTTTAGTCTGGTACTAGTGATATTTTATCAGGATGTCTGCTTATTCTGAATAATTCTTATCCACTGCATTGCCATTGTTAAATCAAGCATTTTCCTGGGCTTTCTCGTTTTCTTAATAGTGTTTCTTAGAAAAGAAGGTATTTTTTAATATTGGTAAAGTCTGATCAATCTTTTTTTTTTTTTTACTTTTATGCTTTTGTGCCACGTTGAAGAAAGTTCTGATTACCCTGTTTGTAAAAGTTATTTCTTATGCTTTCTTCTAAGTTTTACAGCATTAATTTAGCTTTAAATGCTATTTTCCATTTCAAGTTAATATCTGTAATGATCTAAGGGTCTAAATTCTCATTCTTCTGTATTGGTATTTAGTTTTTCAACATTTGTTGAAAAAAAAACTCTCAGAAAATTGTTTTATGGATTTGTTGATAAAACAGAAAACAAAAATTGTTCTTTAACATCTTTGTTGAAGTAAGCAATCTTTTTTTTTTACAGGTCTACTTTGAATTCTATTTTTTTTTATCATTATTTAAATCAGACACGGTCTTTATAGTAAATTTTGAGATTAGGTAATTTGAGCCTTCTAACTTTTTCACAAATGTTTGACTCTTCTTGGTCTTTACATTCCATAAAGATTTTTAAATGAGCTTGAAAATTAATAGGAAAAACTTGCTGAGAATTTTAATGAATTGTGTTGCATCTCTAATACACTGTGCTTCCACTTTCCTGAGCAGCCTCTGTCTAAAGTATTACTTGCCATCATGACAGAGAGAAGGGTGAGCATAGCATACCATGAGCTTGTTTTTAGACCTTCTAGTGGAAATGGTAAATGTCACTTCCTCTCATACTTCATGCACAAATCAAGTTATGTGGCTACACATGAGTTAAATGGCGTGAGTGTGTATAATGAAGTAGTATAGTTGAATGGAAGGGGAATTTCATAGAATGAGCTTTAATATTATATATCATAAAATCTTTAAAAATTTGGCACTTCCTACTAAAAATCAATCTAGTTGGCTATGAATACATTGGGAATGAATTAATTTATGGCTGCATGGAACCCTTGTGTGACGTTGTAGAATTAGCACTGGAACGCTAACTATGAGGTTGGCCCTGTAAATCCACCAGCCACTCCTCAGAAACCTTATATAGGTTTGCTATGAGTCAGAATGGACTCAATGACATTTAACAACAACAAAAGTGTTCTATTATGTGGTTAATACACAATTTATTTTTCCAGTGTCTTTTCTTATTGTTGTAACAATGACAATTATAATTTTGATTAATGTAAGATAGGTTGCAGATCTTTCTTTGGTATAAACTGTACTGCAAAGAGATTTTGAAATCTGAGAATCATTATAAGCTGTGGAATAACTAAGAGTTTATATGATATATAAATGAATTTATGAGAAATCAATATCTTTATATTAAAAGTGCATGTTAAAGTAAAAATGATGTGTTTTCATTAATTCATGTACTACACGAAGTTTATAGTTTTATACTGTCTTCATAAAATTTTAAACAATACTAAAGTCCTGGTGTGGTGCTAGAGGATAAGCACTGGATTGCTAACCACAAGATTGGCAGTTCAATCCCAGCAGTCATTCCTTGGAACTCACCCACCAGTCATTCCTTGGAAACTCTATACAGAGTCACTATGAGTCAGAACTGACTCAATGTACTGGCACTTAACAATAACAACAAAAGCTTGTTCAATAGCAGCCCAGCGGGAGAATGTTATGAATTAAAAGGCAGGAGAAGATTTCTAACTAATTTTAAATTAGTTCTTTGTTTTTACTAAAGATGTTTTTATATAAGAAAAAAAAATTATGTAAAGTATAGTTGCTTTTCCTCCTTAAAGCAATTTAAGTTGTTTAAAATTTTTATTATCTGTGAGTCAGATGTTTCCAGATAGACTCTGCAGTTAATCCCTGAGGTTAGGAAGCCTCTTTCTATTTGAAGATAGGGAACTGCACTCCATACAGATTATAAAACTAGACTAAAGTAAGTGCTAAGTAATTTTCAGGCTGTGGTGTAGTAATGCCTATTTACTCCAGGTATATTAGTTATATTGCTATGTTTGCAAACAATGGAGTCCTGGTGTGGTGCTGCTAGATAAGCACTGGACCACTCATTAACCACAAGGTGAGTGGTTCAAACCTCTAAACTGCTCCTAAGAAACACTATACAGGGTCACTATGAGTTGGAATCAACTCAATGGCACTTCGCAACAACACCAAAAAAAATTATTTTGCATATTTTAAGTTCATTACTGGTTTTAAGAAGTGTTTAAATAAAAATTCTTGAATTTTCTGATTGAAATAGAATTCATTTATTAGATTCTATGCATTTTAAAATCAGCCACTTTACTGAATAGTCTCAATGATTCTAATAGATTTTCATGAATTGTGTACATAAACTATGCTGTTATCATCAGATAAAAATATTTATCTCTATTTCTAATATTTGTGCCTCAGTTTCCTGTTTCTTTCCATTGGTAGAATTCCTAGAATAAAGTGAAATAATATCTTAAATAGCTAGAATGTTATTTATTAACTTTTAAGGAAATATTTCTCACCTTCCCTCCTTGATGTTAGCATTAAATCTGATATACATACATATGTTGTTGTTAAGTGCTGTCAAGTCGGTTCTGACACATAGGGACCCTGTGTAGGGTTTCCAAGGAGCGACTGATGAGCTTTAACCACTGACCTTATAGTTCAAACGGCTTTGCAGTCTGGTGCATTAACCCACAGTGCTGCACCAGGACTCCATACATATATATGTATATAT